ATAGGTAGGGTACTTGAATTTAGTCTTTTGCATAGCTGCATAGCTTTATTCCAGATTTGTCTACCTTATAAATGTCACCAAAACCCCTTCATCACTGCCTTTTATTACAAGCTATATATACCAATCTGCACACCCCTCTAATATCACACCTCTGTCTATCCTTTGTTGATGAGAATGACTCACCAGCCAGCAGGCACTGAAAGGCCTGAATGGAGGTTGTGAAAGAGTTATTAGTAAACACATTTATCTTCCTGATGTGCCCTCTGTGAAAAGGGACTTAAGTCTGCATGTACCAGCATCCAGCAGTTTCTTATCTGGAGCCAAATGGAAGTGGTGGTGACAACCACAATTAGGCAGGACAGCACAGGATAGGAGAGGGTCGCACACATAGCAATTATTCTGTCACCGCGGCGAGACCAGTGACACTAAAATACTGGCTACAGATCAATGAATACACCACTGAGAAAAAAATATATGCATCATTAAGACAAAGGCGAAATACACAGTTTCAGATATGTTGTCGCTGTGAGGAAGTCAGGGGCGGTTTGTGTCTGGTATCATAAGACTGGTGTTTTTATAAATATGCATCTTATTCAGAGATCACACTTTTCTTATTCAGCTGCATCTGTAGCTGAAATTTGTTGATTGGCATCATAAATAAATCATGAATGACTTAAATTTACTCTTAACTTCCAAAGGCGCCGTGTGTCTGTGATACCTTACACTTGGCTGTCTTATTTGTTTGCTATTCTGCGGTGGAGGTGAAAATATTGAAAGTTATCTCAAGAGCGAGTTATTATTGCAACCTGAGTCCAGACTGACCCTCAGAGCCAAAACAACAGTGTTGGCTGGAGCATCCTTTGAAAATAAACCCGAGCTCTCTCGGGCCCAGGACGTTTATTTACCCCACAGACACAGATTCTATTGCTCTAGGCTGCCTGATGTGGCCATGCTCCATATTTCATATATTCACCATGGATAAACAACACAAACTCAGCTCAAGATGTGTCTGTGTGCGTGTGTGTGTCTGTGACACCTGTTAAATTTGTGACAGAGCTGCTCTGCCCGGAGCAGTCATTGAGAAGCTGACTGAACTGCTTTTCTTTGAAATTTCCCCCTCTCTCTCACCCAGTGTGTATCTGTCATCCACCACCTCTACCCTGTACTTATCCTTTACAGCAAGGTCTGAGTTTCTTCTCTTGTCACCCTCCCTCCTTTTGTCTTTGCGACCTGGTGAGGTGCTCAGATTGTAAATAAGAGGTACACGGTACCGTCTCGCAAATATTGATCACATACACACATCAGTCAGATGGCAGAAATGGATTGTGATTGATGGTGACTAAAGAGCTGGATGCGTTTGATAGAGTTTGTGAGGTTCTGTATGTGTGTGTTTTTGTGGTCTGTGCATGGCTCCCATTGGGTCCAATATGTTCTGTGTGATATTTACACCCAGAGTTGACTGATAACATAATTAAGGTCGTGTAGTGATCTGTGGCGGCTGTTTTCTCAGTATACACACCAAACCCGGTCAGTAAATAAAGCCCTGGCCTGGGAGGCAATTTTGTGACACAACATATATTCAGCACAGCCACACACACACACACACACACACATACACAAACACACACACAGAAATAAATGAGGATTTCTACAGCCATGTCACTAAGCAGAAAGGTGGCTGTTAGCCGGTGAAAGTACACTGGTGCTAAAACACAGCTGATAAACGCTGTTTATTTAGTGGTGTATTTAGTGGTGCTCATCCTTTTTATAGCACTAGGAGGTGTTTTTGGGAGGCAAATAAAAGCACAGATGATATATTATTCCAGAACGTACATTTCAGAACCACAATAGCATCACAACATTTCACTGAAAAAATATTGTCCAGCTTTCCATTGAAAGTTTTGACCTTAAAAAGTACTAATAAATTAGGGTGGGATCAATAAACAGTCTAAGGTAGACCAGTCAGTCGGGGGTGACAGCAAATCTGACTGTCAGCAAACTTCATCAGACAATATTCTTAATGTTTGTTGTCAAAACAGGACCAATTTTACATATGATTAGTTGTTCTGAAGATCAAAATGTGTAGGAAGTTGAAACAATAAGATTAATATTGATTTCTTTTTCCCTCCGCACCTTCCCATTCAACTTATAGTTTAAAAACATCGGTATTAAACAAACAAGCTATGTAATGTGCTAGTTAATCCAGAGATATGTGGCTAGTTGTTCTGTTGTTCTAGGTTAAGCTAACCAGCTGGTCATGGTAGCTTTATATTAACCATACACACATGATACATAAAGTATCTTTTCAAATTCTTAACAGAAAGCTAATGAATCATTTTCCCATAATTTGTAACTTTTTCTTTAATTTTGAATTTTTACAGTAAATATAATGCTTTCATATTTTCTGAATACACCATCTTCCCCTTTTATGAAAAACGAGTGAATTATCCTCATTAAACCATGATTTGTGAGAGGTAAAGAACACCATTTCACTAAATATTGATTGAAATGGTTAATAATGGAGTTAATAATGAGATATAAACAGTTAATTTGGATTTTTTTTTTGTTTCTGACACTTTTGGATAATTAAACATGCCCTGGGTCAAATTGACCCACGAACATCAATGTTGTTCCTGAGAAACGAACATAACAGGAGGGTTAAACTTTTGTGACAAGGCAATGTTGCAATAAGCAAACAGTACTGAAGATTGTAGTTTTGATTTGTTTTAGCTACTTTTCTTTTTCTAGCGTGTGGTTTTTCTTGAGACAGAAGATCATCGCTCTCTGCTTGTTAAAGACTGACAGCTCCCTTCATTGGAATGTTAATGGAACAGGCCACTGAGACAAGAGAGAGAGATGTCATATACAGCAGACAATGAGCATGTTTGCATGCAATGGACATCCATATCACCATCAACAGATCAGAACACACTTTATTAATACAGACTGCACTGTTTTTGTTTTTGTTTTTGTTCTATGGTGAAGCATACTTTATACTTCCTTCAGAACTGTCTCTTTATGTAAAATTTAACTACCAACTTCTTTGTGGCACACATTAAACTACATCTATATCGGAACAAAAAGACCCTTTATCACAAAACTAACCCCGCCAACAGCTTTCAGACTTGGGATTAAAGACACTTCAATTAAAAACAAAAACTCCCACATCTCAGCAAGGTGACAGACAAGTAGGATGTCATCTTGGGCAGAGCTCTATGAAGAACTACTGGCTGAGAAAGCAAGGGGAAACTAGACCACAGAAACCTGTCAGACTGTGTGGTTCAGTCTACTTTGTTAAGACATGATTTTGTTTACTTAAACATTGACAGGATAGATCAATAGATTTCTCTGCTACCACAAAGGTGCGGATACATAATGGGGTGCCACATAGTTCTGTTGTTACATTTGAGCTTCGGCTTACTGCATAAACTACATCCACAGGAACACAAATAAATCTGGAAATAAATAAATAAATAAAATGTACAAGTGAAAATGACGTGCTAGCATTTTCAAGTTGTTTTCATAAAGATCTCTATCCACTCTGAAAAGCCAAAAATGACAGCAAAACAACTAAATCTCTTTTCTTTCAGCAAACAACACTAATAGACTAAAAGCCATCACCTGGTAAAAAGTGGGACAGACACGTCCAATTCTGTGGAGTCTTGACATGTTTAAACATGTTCCCTCCTTCACTTCATTAACGCTTGTATTGTGTTTCAGTATAGTTGAACACAGTTTAGTTGTTCACATTGGCATTTTTTTCATTTGTTTTCAGAGAACTGAACGAGTAAAAAGTTTTAATTTATTCATCAGACATCAATGTTACCTCGTAATCTGCTAAGTATTTCCTGCTGCACTCAGGTGATTAAGTCTGATTATTTCTATGCTGATGATACAGCAGCTGATCTTTCTCCTCTTTGCTCCCTCACTGTAGCCAGAAAGAACTAAATAATCAGATCCTTCCCACAACACTGACAGTAAAACAGCTTTAGAAACATCTGCAAGACCTCAACAACACTCACAGTAAAACAGCTTTAGAAACACCTGCAAGACCTCATTTATATTTAGACCGCTTCTCTCCCATAGATCTCTCTGAGCTGACTTCAACAATTGCTCCATCTAAATCATCAACATGTCTCTTAGACCCCATCCTGACCAGACTACTCAAAGACATCTTCCCCCAATCAACAGATCCATATTACAGTGATAATAATAATAGTAAGGTCTAGACCTTACTTTGTAAAGTGTCCTGAGATGACTTTTGTTGTGATTTGGTGCTGGACAAATAAAACTGAAATTGAAATTACTTACCAACTGTAGCATACGATGCTTGCAGATGACCTGTCAAAAAACACAAACAGCTAGTTTTATCCAGAGTTCTATCTGTAATAAGGACAGGTAAAAAAAATAAAGCTCTGGCTAAGGTACAAAAACGTTGCTTCAACTTCACAGCTGTTCCTGTGTTAAACTGGGCCTTTATGGGATCCCTGAAACCTTCAGGTCTTTCTTAGGTATAAGACATGTGTCTTTATTTGAAATTGTATACTTAACTGAAATTGAATTTTTAAATCTGAATCATTCTTTGCTTAAATCAGCTTAACGCAACACAAAAGATGCATGTAAAGGAACACACGTAATCTTATTACAGCATCAAACTGCCTTCAACTGAGCCACAACAATGCATTGTTGCCTATCAGAAGTCAAACAATGCCTTTGCAAAGAAAGACAATGGGCCTGTCAACGGAAAGAAGTCATTCTGTATTTTTGAAGGAGGCCCTGTGTTTCCACGTCAGGTTTTGTGAGACTTGTCTAGGGCTCGATTCACAGAGTCTGATGCTCTTTCATCTCCCTGGGCCTATCACTCTAAGCTGGGAAACAGGAGCTAAGGAACTCTCAGCTCACAGTGCCCCAGCCTGGCTTTCCTGCCCTTCAGCCCCTCCTACTCTTGCCTGCCATACTGGCCCTCTCAAAGGAGTCTTTCAGTATGCACGGAGGCCCAGTTCCAGGTCAATGGGAGCTGGGGGATTTTGAGCTCCAGTCTGAGTGAGAACAAATAGTTTGTTTGGTGAGCGGTCTGAAGTAGCTGTACAACTTACATCAGAGTGAAGGTATTGTTGACTTAAGTATTTAGTATTACGGCAGCAGAACCAATATGACTGTGATGACAGCGGTGTTGGTTCCTGCATTAACATCTACTGCTGGGTCACTGCCAGAGGTTTGGCCTAGGTCCCCAAACAAAAGTTCATGAAATCTTATATTTTTTCACTGATTTCACAAAACTTATTCAACACGTCTCAACAAAATGCCACAAAATGTCTAAGATAAATTAAAGCTGGTGACACTTACTGTGATATTTTGAGAAACACAATTACATTGACCTGCGAGGGACTGACATTTAAAAGAAACACATTTGCACCCATCAGTGGAATTACTGCAGCAAATTCAATTTAAGAGGCATATGAATACATCTAGCATTGAGTAAAGAAACCAATTTAATTGCCACTGGCACCATCAGTCAGGCTGAATGGGTACGTGTTCATCAGTCTCTGCATTTCATCTGTGCCATTGGAGGAATGTTACTGCATGTGGAAGGTCATATCCTTGTGCAGGGTGAGCTCTGTCTTGTCCCCCATCTGCCCTGAGTGGCAGCTCAGCTTCATTTAGGAGACATCACCCCCAGTACTCTATATCTCTAGCTGTCTCTGCTCAGGCCTTTGTGTGAGTCCCAGTCACTGATTGGGCTGTATAATGTGACTGATGTCCTCTGGGCAATCTGCTACTGGGACAAGGACATGCTTAGGTGATCCACAGGCTGATTGGCGCCTAGCTAATGGAGAGGACAGCGTGACCTCTGAGCCTGTCAGGTGCTAAACCAGCCTCTTAATTATGTATCCGGACACATGCCTATCGCTGGAACCAGTCTGTGACCGCCTGAGTAGCGTCTAGACATGCAAACCCCCTAAAAATTCACTAGCACCACAGGCTCACCAGTCACTGTATGTGTGTGTGCATGTAAAAGTCTTGAACCATCTGGTCTCAGGCTAAACTATCTCTCTGTGCTTTGTTTGAACATTGAAGTATGGGATACTTCACAACTGCTCATAGGTGTGTGAAATGTCCATATTTCCCAGAGTTAGGATTGATTACAACATTTTTCTTTATGTCGCTTCCCACCTTTTCTTTCTTGCAGATCACCGTCTCTCCTGCCATACTTTATATTTTGCATACATCATGAATATACACTATTTTTGTTGACCTGTATGGCAAAGTCCTGGACGGGGTTGGGTACCCACAAAAATGTATGTGTAATGGCAAAAATATTGTTTTTATTAATTCATGAGTAAAGGTATGGCTATAAAATAGACTAAATGTTGGAAAGATAGCGAGTGAAATAAACAATAATAAATAAATAAATAAAGGTGCAGCTTCTTTTAAACTTCAAATTCAGCATAATTTGATCAAGCCTAAATAACTGATACATTTATTGTGAAGCTCTATGGCACTACCTTTAACCCCTCAATTTGCATCCAGCTGATAGGATGTCACTCACATAGGCTCGGTGACAGTGTGTGATGCTGGATAACATAAAAGCGAAAATAGCCACATCACTGAAGGCCAAGATTGGATGTATGGGAGAAAGTCAGCATGGTTACAGACAATGAGAAAAACCTTATCAGTGTCTTTGCTGCTTGTAAGTAGTGCCAAAAATGTTAGCATTTGAGCAAGCTATCGCTTAGTGGAATATAACAGCGTCCCTCTCCTGCCAGCTTCTACAGTAATATTAGGATTCCACACCTCTCCTGTCTTCAGTATCCATCCACTCTACCCTATGGCCTGCTCCATTACAGCATGAACACGGACATTGTTTCAATTTATCACATTTACAAAAACAGAGAACATATAGTGTGACAGTCTTGCGGCCTCCTTCCCATGGTCCAGATGTATGGTGGATCTGTGTGGATTCATAATTAAAATTGTGTATGCACTAAGACAGAACTGAATGTATGCATTGTTTTCACCAGAGTTTTAAAGCCACACACAAGCCTAGTTCTGCTTTTTAAATCTCAATCGTCATGGAATTGGATGCATCTGCATGAACTTCTTTTCTACTCCAACCTTTAGCCATTAATAAATGTAGACATGCTTTTAATCAGTCATTTGCATGTAGAAACAGTCTCTGACCCGTAGGGTATTAGACATGGCAATGAAAGCAGCGCTAAAGCAGAAGGGCCATTTCAATGAATGTAAAATTGAGACACTTAGAAAGGCGAAGAAAAAAAGATGCCTTGGTCAGGCAGCTTTATAGGGAATGTCCCTGTCAATGCCACAGCTGCTAATTTACATAATTTTCTTACTGATCAAGCCATTCATTGACCCTTAACCCCAAATTATGTTCATTTACAATTAATCTGCAGCAGCAAAGAGGGTTTTGAAAGCAAAGCAAAGCCATCTGATTTTTTTGAAACAACAAAATGTTTTAGATGAAAATATATTCTAAATGACAATTAGCCAAACAGTTACTCATGACCTAGTCCATTTGTTTTTCCTATCATTTTTACTCTACAAAAATGTTGCACTTCATCACTGGATGAACATAACCCAGGCAGCAGTTACTCTTCCTTCAAGCCATATTTGACAAAACAATGCCTTCTATTTTTCATGGAAGCAATCAGTGTTTCTTCTTAATGAGACTGTTGTTTCTGATGAAACTGTAGGACTGGCTCTGGAAAAGGTATGGTCAGTACACACGGGTGTCCATATGTGGATGTTCATGAGCAAACTGAACATTTTACTTTACTGCCTGGCATCTTAGTGAGCTGATAGCTCTGACTTCTGTTTACCACTGGTTAGATATTAATTGGACTGATAAGCAGAAACTAACTCCTTGAGCAAAGAACCCCACCTAGGTCACTCCTCCAAACATACTCAGATACCTGAACACTTGTCTGGTACTGAGATTTATGTTTTGTCCTGCATTAAGGATTTGTTTTTGGACCAAACATATCTGATTCTCCTACTTTGCCCTTTTTCAATTGTAAATTTTACTTCCATTCAAACCAGCCTTCATCTTTTTCTTCATTCCTTCCTTCAATCCCTCCCCTTCTTCCTCAAACACTACCTTACATGATGAAGTTTGTCCACTCCAGCTGTTTTTCTATATCTCAGTAAATATCAATAACATCTGGTGATATTTACTGGTGTGGGAAAGATGAATGCCCTGCTCTATATGCTTCAACCTCATTGCCTCTCGGAGCATTAGTCATGTAAACAACGTCTGCTTGTTAATGGTAAAAGCTTTCCCTAATGATCCACACCTCACATGAGTCTGAAATATCAAGTCAGGGCATAAAGAGCAGCCATAGATCATTATGATAAATGATGAGAGACTGGCGGAAGGCTCGGGGAGGAGACCTGTCCTGATGCTAATTCACTCTGTTTCCCTGCGTGATTCATATGCAGTTTGGTCATAATACATCGAGGCTGTATTATTCTTCTATTAAAACAGCTGGTTTTGCCTTCATGTCACTAGAGGTTGTTTGTCAGCACTATAAGACACTTAAGCATTTGCTCGTTATGCCAGTTTTCCTAAAAAGTCAACCGTAAGGAGATATACAAGTCACTGTTACTGCAAGTGAAGAAACCACAAGCTGACTTGTGTTTGCATGTCAAGTTGCTCTTTATCCTGGAGGAAACTCCTCTTGGATTGCAAGTAATTTACAAACCTAATCAAATGTGTTCAAAAGAAGCGGTATGTGTCTTTTAACAAGTGTTCTGTTATCTGGCTGACATCGGCCCCCTGAGAGAATCCATCCAAGCCCTGTTGTCTTTATCACACTAAATGGTTCTGTAGAAAATTGGCACGACTATGAATTTGTTCTTGTCAAACACTGAGTAATCAAAACCAGGCAGCCGTAAATAAACAAATTTACTTCATTACACTGTGGCATACTAACTAGCTTCACCACAATATTGCTCATAATGGGGTGTGATTATTTTTATGGCACTGCTGAATGGTTGATGACAACGATGATCTGTAATGAATCAGAAGTGCACCTGCTAATTTGCTTTAATTGCCCCTGTCACTTACTCACCACATCCACAAGCATGTTGGTTTTAATATGTCCAATTTGTGTAAAACTCCAGCATCACTGCATCACATCAATAGGATATTGAAAGTGCCTCAGGGAAAAATGGTTAGGGGTCAGAAATATGGAGCAGTGCATTAATGTTGCTGTAATAGTGTAGTATAGTCCACACTACAGGTGAATGTGTCTTCCGAGCCTCTTAAGTCTGATTATTTGATTCACCAATTAGCGCTGAAGATTTGGATAGAGAGGCTA